GTGCACTCCTGGGGACCAGGGGATTCTGGGGGAGGCATATGCCCCCAGAGTTTTCCACAGGACGGGGGCAGATGCAGACTGACTGCTGTGGGCTTGGGGTTCCCTGCCCTGCTGCCCTCCCCCCAGGGCCCCCGGGTCCCAGTGGGTGGGACCCAGCACATGAGGGTGGAGTGGGGTGGGGAGGCTCGGTGTCTTGCTTTTGCATTTTGAAAGGGTGGTCACCATAGCTATGACTGTGGTCCATGGGAACTACTTCTGTATACTTGCATCAGCACATCACGTTTGATAATCTGTGATATTGCTTAGGATCTCTATTTTATTATCTTTGTTTACACAGCACAATATAGCACCTAACAACTTGCCTTTTTAAAGATGCTGTACTGCACATTCAAGTGGTATAGAAATACAATGTCTTTTGAAATGTTAGTTAGCAATAAATGTGTATTGAAATATTAATGAATGCTTTTCTATAAAAGTTTCTTTTTCTATGTATTACTACAAATATTAGATTTCATTTATTTGATGTTTTTAATATTTTAGTATATCTAAATCATTTATTTGATGTTTTTAATATTTTAGTATATCTAGTTAGAAAATTATAATACTTTTAAATATATAATAGTTTTCTTCGGTATTTAGACATGTTTTAATTTATCAACTTCATTTGGCCAGACAATATGATCTATCTCTTCTTTTTAAAGTGTAGTCTGAAAAATGTTCCCATATAATTTTATAATCATAAAAATTATCTTACATGTAGTGTATAAACCTGTCATATATCACTATATCAATCAACCTACTTATGTGTTGATTTCACATGTTACTTGTGCCTTTAAGGCTGGTTGATTTCCAAAATAAAATCAAGTGGATTTGTAAATTGGCTACAGCCTCCCTTAATGAATACTGGAGACATCATTTATTTTAAGACTTGCATACAAGGTATTTCACAATCTGCTTGCACAGATTAGTCATCTGAGTTTCATAGATTCATAGATGTTAGGGGCTGGAAGGGACCTCGCAAGATCATCAGGTCCAGCCCCCCTACATTAGGCAGGAAGACAGCTGAGGTCAGGTGAACCCAGCGAGGTGACCGTCCAGTCTCCTCCTGAAGATTTCCAGGGTAGGTGATTGCAGCACCTCTGGAGGGAGTTTATTCCAGTCTGGATACTCTGACTGTGAAGAAGTTTTTCCTAGTGTTAAGCCTGAAATGGTCTTCCAGTTGTTTGTGGCCATTACTCCTGGGTTTCCCCAAGGGTGCCCTGGTGAACAGTTGTTCACCGAGCCCTTGATGTTTTCCCCTGATATAGCAGTAAGATGCTACCAGGTCCCCTCTCAGCCTTCTCTTTTTTAGGCTGAAGAGACCTAAGTCCCTCAGCTTTTCCTCGTATGGCTTCCCTTGCAAGTCTCTGATCATATGGATGGCTCTTCTCTGGACTCTCAAGCTTTTCCACATCCTTGTTGAAGTGTGGCGCCCAGAACTGCCACATACTTCAACCGACAGAGCCAGATTTGCTTCACAGCATGGCTCTGAACCCTTCTTCTAGCCTGTGAGGCCAGATAAATTCAATTCCCCTGACACAAACAAAATGTTAGGAGAGACTTCATTTGGCCTCACTATTGCTGATTGCCAAAAATAAAAAGATATAGCAGAAATAATGTTTGGCAGATTAAGTAAGGGATCATTCTTGTTTAATGATTTAGTGTAGAGCAAAATCATGTGCTATTGTCAGGGAATGGTTTAAGAAAAGAGTCATTATTCTAAGGCCTGTGGACTAGATCCAGCCCACATAAATATGTGATCCAACCCTCAAAGTTTTGATCAGGTCCACAGCAGCTTATGGGAAGAACGTCAGCATGTGGTGGCATTTTATGGTGGGCAGGATTGGTGTCACATAGGTTAGGGACAGACATTACACATAAACCAGTTTAAATCTGCATTTTTTCTGTCCAGAGGGGATGTCTGTGGGGTTACAAACCAGTTTAGCCTAGCCAGGTTAGACTAACCTACAAAGATTGAATCAATTCAGGCTCAGGCTTTTTGAATGTCTGTCCCTAGCCATAGTGGCTAGAATCAGTAACTAATAGCATAGCAAGGAGTGGACAGACAAGTAGGGTGCCAGAATAGAGGCCTTCCAGGGAGTCTGCCCTGCTCTACTGCAGTCACTGTTTTTATCTCTGCCAAATCCACCATTGCCTGTTGTTGTCAGTGTTTGGAGGCAATTGACAGTGGCTGCAGTAGTGGGGGGCAAAAAAACTCACCAGGTTTGGGGAATGCTGGTTCAGTATGCAAGCCTTACTAGTTACACCTCTGTTGGCAACATTCATTGGGGCAGTAGTGGGATGGGGGGAAGAGAGGCAGGGGTCTGCCTTAGGGCTGAACCACA